TTGGGTATTTTCAATAATTTCCCTGTTCAAAAACTGTTTATAGATTATTATTTTTTCATTAATTTTATGAAAGCCTTTTTTTTTCTAGTTTGAAAAGCTTTTAGAAGATGTTGATCTAATATTACTTCCTCTAAAAGTTTTTTCGAAATGAAATTCTTTTAGATATATTGTGGCGAGTAATGTTATTTAGCTCCATTGAAATTATAATCATAGTTTACGTGACGTTAATGTGACATTAAATAATAAATGAAATTAAACAAGTCATTTAATTTTACCTTTTTTTTAAACCTATTATCTAATGTTACCTAAGCTGAAGTTATAATTTCAGTTGGACTATATAACGTGACTCGTTTGGTGGCCGTAAAATTTAAAAAAACTATGTTTTGAATAGTAATTTTTAAGAATATGTGGTAAAAAAGTAGAGAAAAAATTTAGGTTTAAGTGTAGAATATTTTATTGTGTGAATATAGTTGAAAATGAGTATGAGGAATGAATTAAAATAAATTAAATCAATTAACTTCATCAAGAAATTTTTCCACAATAATAAATAGAGGTAAATATAGAAGTGCTCTCAAATGAGTTCGGAATCACTTTCTTCGTATCTTTTCATAAATGGGAAGTTGTTTGAGCCCCAATTTTTATTTTTATTTTTTCAAAAAATGTATTTTGTAATAGTGTTATGATAGAGAATATGTGGTTAAAAATTATGAAATTTTTTTGAATTTATGTTTAATATTATTTTATTAAACAACATAGAATTAAAATAAAATAAAATTATTGCTGAAGAATACATTTTGAATGAAAAAATTGGGACTGGACGGCAACATCTGTAGCCAGCCACTTCTAGACTCGACAAAAAGGAAAATTATAGTAGAGACCCTCAACTGCCACTACGGCCACGGAGCTCCTAGCCACAGCCAAACGCCGCTGCAATCGATCCCCTCGATGAGCACGGTTACACCCATAAAGCTTTACTCTTTTTTGCTGCTGGTAAGTAATAAAATCAATGTCATTCCTCTCCTCCGAATCTCGTTACCTTCGTTCACAAAACTCGTTCTTTCCACCACATCTTCACCGTCAGCCGAAAAGTTCTTGACCAAATTGCTGGAAAATAGGTCCAACTTAGAAAAGGTTCTCGAACTGTGAAAGCTAAGCTGGATGCTCCATGCATCAGTGAAGTGTTAAAAAGGCGCGTTGTTAATGAAACTCAATTGGGTCTCAGGTTTTTCATTTGGTCTGCTCATACATGTATATCAAAGCCTGTAAATTAATCGGACTTGAGAAAATTGTCGTTGATGTTATATCGGCCTATCGGGCTGAAAATAGTGTTGATAGTGTAAAGATGTTCAAGGTTGTTCTGAATTTGTGTAGGGAAGCTAAAAATGAGAAATTGGGCTTGTGGGTGTTGAGGAAAATGAAGGAATTTAGTTGTAGACCCGACACTTGTGGCGTACAATGTGGTAATTAGGTTGGTAGTGGAGAAGGGTGAATTAGATGAAACAATGGGGTTGATGAAAGAGATGGGTTTGATTGATCTTTATCCCAATATGATCACTTATATTTTGTTGATTGGTTAAGGGGTTTTGCGACGTAGGGAGGTTGGAAGATGCATGCCAATTCGTGCTGAATGCAGTTGTTTATTCAACACTTCTTGATGGGGTTTGCAAGCGAGTTTCGAGAAGGCATTGGAGTTTCTAGAGAAGATGGAAAAAGAAGATGAGGAATCTAGGCCAAATGTTCTAACTTATTTGGCAGTGATAAAGGGTTTTGTTGAGAAAGGGAGAGTGATGGAGGGGTTAGGGGTCTTGGATCGAATGGAGCATTCAGGCCTTCAACCTAATAGGGTGACAATTACGGCTTTGATTGATGGCCTATGCAAAGAGGGGCGTGTGGAGGTGGTTCATAAAGTTATTGATATAGTTAGCAGAGGTAGTGAACAGCATGGTAAGTTCTATGGTTTGCTTGTTGTGTCACTATGTCGAACTGGCAAAAGAAAATTGGCAGAAAGCTAGTGGGATGAAGCATACATCTTTCCGGTATGAGTATTATCATAAAAGCTATAGTCTTAAAGGGATGGGTGCTAGATAGATTTGGTTTGCTCGATTCACTTGAAGAGTCTGTACATTTTCCTGCCATCGATTATGACATATACTCAATCATATTAGCTGGTCTTTGTGAAGAAAGCCATTTGGTGAAAGTTGCAAAGCTTGCTAATCTGAAGAATTCAGCTTAAGCCTGTTTATGTTCAAAATATAGTCGAATACCTTAAGAATTATGGAGAAAAAGGTATAGCTTCGCGTATAGATAGTATTGACAGTTTATTATGAGCCAAGAATTGTTCTGTATGCGACGGAGATCCCTTTTCGCTAATTTAGATGAATGCCTTCCCTTTGGTTGGTAATTTCTTGATTTGAGCAATGGAATGATGCTCTTCCTCCTCCTTTCAGTTTGTTGATTACTTACGGGGAAGAAAATGATATTATTTTACACTACAGTTATTTAAGTTGTGGAAGAACACTGAGGATTCCAAATGAAACAGTGGCAGAGTGGCAGGTGGCCGAATAAGCAGTCGAAAGATGCGAAATAGAGGGGAGTTTCCACTGTAAAACTATAATTGTTAAGGAGCAATAAACTTGTGTAGTAAAGAAAATATACTCTCTATAAAGGCTAGCATCTGTTTTCAAGCTTGATCATCCTTTCATTCACCTTCTTCAGATGGCAATGGAGATTTTCTTAACTTTTGAGTATATTTCTGACTTTAATTTGCTTATTGAAACTTACATTTACATTTTTTAATTGTGGTTGATGGATATGCTTTTTATTTGTACTTGCACAGGTTTCATCACATCTAGATCATGGCGACCCTGCAAATATTTTGATTTCTAAGTGCTGCTTTTGCTGTAAGTGAAGAAAGTAGAAGAATATTTCTTGATGTTAGAGTCAAAAGCTGATAATATGCTAGTATTATGTAAAATTGCTGAAACTTAATTGAAATAATAAGGCATTATTTTCTCCTTAATATAATCTCACCTACAGTATTCTAGATGAAGAAGAGTCTTCTATAGCTGTCAGATTAAGTGAAAAATCGGGTGAAGATATATTGTTTTTCATGCAATTCTACTTGTGCAACTAGCATTATTTTGTCTTATTCGTCTGAAATGATTCCATTATGCACTTCTCCTTTATTATGAACTCTTTTTTTCTTTATTGAATATGTTTGTAGGTGCGAAACAGAAGCTCGTAAAGGTGAGATACAAGAATGTTGTAAAATAGAGATTTGGAATCATTGACGTCTGGTAATTTATCTAAAAGAACATAGAACATATATGACTTTCCTGCTAGGGTGCTACCTGAATTCTTATATAATGAACTTGTACATGATGAACTTAAAATGTTTACCTGAATACTCATAAAAAAAGGTAAAAAAATTCTTCTTGGGGTTCAGAATTTGATTTCTGCAATCATCCCTGCCTAAATGTTGATAATCAAATGGTCACAATCGAATCTATTATGTAAGGGGTTCAAGACATTGATCGACTGCAGAAGACTGATATCCAAACACAGATTTAGTGAACATATTCTCCAATATAAATAAGAAGAAAAATGAAAGAGAGAAAAAGTAGATGGCTTCATGTCGAATAGTAAAGCAAGCATCAAAGTTTCATCATATTAAGTATGAACTCCAAGTTAGACACAACATGACATTCTAGAAGCACTAGTGAGGAATATTAAATTTAACACTTCCTGTATGTTTTCTTGCGGCTATTAGAAATTAGTAGAGTAAATATTAATTTCTGAAAACTATACCAGAACATGCCAATATGATTAAGTGGCTGGTACAAGAATTATGATGTGTGATCGGTGGACTGCAGATATATAAGATTCGTAGTCATGCCTCAAAAGGAACAACCCAAAGTGCTTTTGCATAAGATGAATGTGTTATATACAGGTTGAAATCTCAAGCTTGAACTTCTATCTGCAAGCTTTATCGTGTATGTTAGCGTATTAAGAAGCAAACTGTCTGTAATAAAGCTTGTGTTATTTGGGTTCCTGATGCTTCTAGTATGTCGTCAATGTTAACCCTTATCTTTGTCCTTTCCAAGTTAGGTCTGCAAATGGGCGAAGCCTTTCTATGAACTGCCTCATTCACATTCATTCATGAGATGAGGGTACCTAGCTTGAATTATGTGTTTGAACTTGTCTTGCAAATGAAAGGGCTTGAAAATAATGCGGTTTGGCTTGGTATGTTCATGAACAATTACGTGTATATTAAATTCAATGGTATTTTGTGTAATGACCCGAGTTTCATGTCCAAGTCATTCTATCATACGTACTATCCGTTTTGGGAGAGTGCATCTTTCTATCATACGTTGAATCTTGATATCAATTGAACAAAAATCTGCGAGGGATAAGAGGGTGGATGTCCTTCCAAAACGAAAAGTACGTATTATATAACGAGTTGAGCACAAGGTCCAGGTTGTTACATCTTATATAGTTCTATACATTTTTATTGGTATTTAGTGTCACGATATGCCCATTATGAAACTTGCTTAATATGTTGCATCTGGTGTCCCTGTGCTCTTATGAACGCGAACCTGTCGTGAGCCCGTCTTTGAGCTGAGCCATGCCCTAATAACCCTCATCTTGGCTGGATTCACTTGTTTCTAATTCAAGTTATAAGCTAGAATAATCTTGGTTCTTTATTAGATTATCGATGGTTCTTTATGGGAAGGGCGAAACTGAATTGCACGAATGTTTGCCGTGTCTTGCAGAAGTCGAGGTATGGCAATGCGTGTTTTTCTCATGTCCATGTAAACCTCGGAGCTATCAAATGTATCAACATTCCATCAGTTGAAATCATGGCAAAGCATAAATAGACAAGCATTTTGGAATGGTGAGAATAAATAAAGGAAAATATCTTGACAAATATTCGGTATTGTACTTTACAAAAGCCTTTTTAAAATCTTTAAAGTGAAAATGGAAAAAAGAAAAACCAGATTTTCTCAGACTGGGAATTATTACCAATTGCTTTTTATTTATTCGTTTATTGGATAAAAATGAATCCTATGCGAAGGAATAAGAAAAGAAAAACTTAGAATTTTTATCTTTTTAATAGTGGAATGATATCTTTATTTTTCCCTTTTGTTTATTCGCTATCGATGAATAATAAATTTAATTCTTTTTCTTTATTTTTTTTAATTTTTTTTGAAGTGTGAAGATTTAGGTTGTCCATTTTGCCCTTTTTAAATATAGTCATTTTCAATCGAAATATTGCATTTTCACATAAATTAAGGGTCCGTTTGATTGCGATGGTGGAAAATGAGTGGAAATAAAATAAATTTCAGAAAAAGTAATTGTTCAGAAATTTTTTTGCAGGGAATTGTTAATTAATTTCGTTTGATTGGTATAATTTTTCACTCGAAATTTTTTTAAATTTTGTATTTGTTTGGCTTTGTTTTATATGAAAATTGTATATTAAAGTGATATTTTTTCCNTTCCCACCAAAATGGTGGGAAAATCATTTCATGAATTAAATGGAAATGGGGCACGTGAGGTGGTGTGAAAGAACACATTTGGATGGCCAAATATTGTACATCAACACTACCTTTTGTGAAAGTTGGAATTTCATTTCCATTTTTCTAGGCAAATTTGGTGCATCAAACATTACCTATTTTCGGGTGAAATATGTACAAAGGGTCATCCGCTGTTTATTTACTTAAAGGTTCTGGACTATGTAGCCAAAAATGAAAAGTTTGGGGGACCTATTTTCACCTTTTGAAATGTCAGGGGTCCTAGATGATATTTTCCTTAATTAGTAATGACGGTCACTTCTTTTTAAAAGCTGTGAACTAACTTCCTATAAATGTGATAGATTGACAACAAATGCAATCTTCAAATATATATTCCACTGTACAAACTGCAAACTGTGAACGTACAACTCCCTACTGCAGAAGATTAACCTAATAGAGAAACCTGACTGCCGCCACCATGGCATCGAAGCTTCTTGCCACAACTCTTCGCCGCTCTATACGCAAACCCATCTCCACCTACGCCGCGGCCAATACCCTCCTCCACCACCACCCTCTCTCCACCGCTGCTGCTGCTGCAATCGAGCCCCTGGAAGAGGACGCAAATGGAGTAACAATGAAGGGCGTCAAAATCTCGGGTCGACCACTATATCTCGACATGCAGGCCACTTCTCCGGTGGACCCTAGGGTTCTTGACGCCATGCTTCCTTATTACGTCTCACGATATGGAAATCCCCATTCGCGGACCCACCTCTATGGGTGGGAATCCGAGAATGCCGTGGAATCGGGCCGGGCTCAGGTCGCGGCCCTCATTAACGCGTCCCCGAAGGAAATTATATTCACCTCCGGCGCTACTGAGTCGAATAATATCTCAATTAAGGGCGTTATGCACTTCTATAAAGATAAAAAGCGCCATGTTATAACTACCCAGACTGAACATAAGTGCGTGTTGGATTCCTGCCGGCATTTGCAGCAGGAGGGATTTGATGTGACTTATCTGCCGGTTAAGGCTGACGGGCTTGTAGACTTGGAAAACCTTCGGGAGTCTATTCGGCCTGATACAGGTTTGATTTCGGTAATGATGGTGAATAATGAGATTGGTGTGATTCAGCAGATGGAGGAAATTGGGAAAATCTGTAAAGAGTTTAATGTTCCTTTGCATACTGATGCTGCTCAGGCTCTAGGGAAGATTCCAATTGATGTGGATAAAATGAATATAAGTTTGATGTCGTTGAGTGGGCATAAGATTTATGGGCCAAAGGGGATTGGGGCTCTGTATATGAGGCGGAGGCCGAGGATTCGGGTCGAGCCCCAAATGAATGGGGGTGGACAAGAGAGGGGGATAAGGAGTGGGACAGTTCCTACGCCTTTGGTTGTTGGATTTGGGGCGGCTTGTGAGCTGGCGATGAAAGAGATGGAGTATGATGATAAGAGAATTAAGGCTTTACAGGAGCGGTTGTTGCACGGGATTAGGGAGAAAATTGATGGGGTAGTAGTGAATGGAAGCACAGAGAGGAGGTATGCAGGGAATCTGAACTTGTCATTTGCGTATGTTGAAGGTGAGAGCTTGTTGATGGGATTAAAGGAGGTGGCAGTGTCGAGCGGGAGTGCATGCACGAGTGCAAGTTTGGAGCCATCATATGTGTTGAGGGCTTTGGGAGTGGAGGAGGACATGGCACATACCTCGATTAGGTATGGAATAGGGAGGTTCTCCACCGAGGAGGAGATTGATCGAGCAGTGGAATTGACGGTTAAGCAGGTTGAAAAGTTAAGGGAGATGAGCCCGCTTTATGAGATGGTGAAGGAAGGGATTGATATTAAAAGTATCCAATGGAGTCAGCACTGACTTGTTTGGGATGAGTGGATTTGTGCTTGATGGAAAATTTAGATAAGTGTATTGAGTTCAGAGTTGCTCATTTCACATATCGAGTTGTTGCAGGACGCTATCCAGGTTTTATCCAAGACTACTCTGTACATTCTTGTGTTTGACATGTAGTTGCATTATGGTTAAATTTTGTCAAGTAGATGGATGCTTTTGATGTTCATTACATTCCAATAATGTACTATATATACAGTCTCTTGCAATAAACTTGAAGCATTTATCTTTTTAATAGTGGAATGATATTGTAGTATGATTTTGCCTCCATTCAAATTTTATTTTTTGCTTTTTTTTTTTTTTTTGAGTCAAAGGCTGATTGATTGTTTGTGGTATTGGATGGTCAATTATGGCATAATGATACCAACTTTTAATGCTCAATCATGTATGATTGTCCCTGCTTTTTGGTGTAAAATAACACCACCACTCTAATATAGTGTGAACTTAGTGATTCCTCAATCCCCTGAGGAACATACGAATCTGACTGTAATTTAAGCAATCTGTTAATGTGTGGAAGGTTACTCTCTATCTCTGTCTTGATTGAATTAGTCATCCGTAACAACGCACTGAATTTAGTCCTATCTAGATATATTCTATAAAGACAGTTTGACAAACAAGTTCCATCACTTGGTTGAAAAATTAAAGTGAAATCACTTGGAGGACCTTTTTATTGAACCTACGAGCTCACAAACTAATTTAGGTATCAATCAAAAGATATTCAAAAAAAGCTCTTTCCATAGACTAGAATGAAAGGAATATACTTGTCTACATTTAATACCACCTTTTTGCGGGCAACGGAAGCCAGTTTTTGTGCATTGAGATTAACGATGGATAGGAATTCTTACCTGTTTCTGTAGAAATTTACTGAGCTCAATTATTTTTGTAGACTGCTTCTCTGCTGTTGCCGAGATGGTAAGAGTTAATGTACTGATTGCTCCAAGTAAATTTTATCACAATAACTCTATAATGTACGTCTTTGGTTTCTATGTAGTATCTGAAAAAGTGTATTTACTTTTGTGCTGCTTTTCACGTATCCCCAAACCTTGCAGGAAAGTAACATTTACGTTAATATTGCATTTAATTTCTATATATTAATTTCTTTTGCGAGTGATGAATTCTGAGGATTTTTAGGAGACTAGCGAGGAGTATAGATAAAAGAAACATGGTTATTTGCATTTTGGATTTCTTTCTATGACACAATTTTACTGGAGAAGGAAAAGAAAATCCATTAGACTGTGATTTACACAAGGTTGTGTGATTAGGTGCTGCAACAATATGAAACACTTCTTATTCATCTTTTATCCATGTCATAGTAGTTATATTATCACGTGATTGTCTTATCATCTTGAAGTATCAGAGGAAATGGCCTAATAGTCATCAATACATGATCTTGTGCATTAGTCTGCATTATGAGCTGTTTTTCCCTGGCTAGATGATTATTAAGAATTACTTGTTTCTGGGCTCTGCTGAATTTGTATTTACAAGTGCTTTTTTTGATGAGATGGATAGAGAAATCTCAATGCTGATATGGTGTTTGATTACAGCAACTTATATATTTAGATGAGACTTATAAGAGATTATCATGTGATCATGTGTGGTAAAATAAACAGAACATAGAACATGAATAATGACAAGGATGCTAATTTAATAAAGTAATGAAAGAAGTTAATCTGACATCTTTATTAAAGAGAGAACATTTTTTCTAAGTTCAATAATAATAAAATAACGCTTCTTTTAAGATTTTTGGGTATCCAAAATTAAACATGCTCCTTTTGATGAGATTAAAACTTGAAAATGAAATATAATTAACATTATTTCAGTTTGGAGGGGAGAAAATAAGAAAAAATAGTATCTTTCTGGAATGTTTTTGAGCCTAGACCAAATTGACTGGTGTTAGGGTCTAATAGGTGTGGGATGGATTGTTGTGTTACAAAGGCAGAATTGTGTCTAAACCATCCCCTTTTATTGATATTATGTTGCAAGAGTGTCGTGACACAAGAATAGGAGGTCATTCGGGGTTTCTTAACTTAAAAAACAATTGCGTGGGAGGTTTATTGAACGGGGATGGAGGTTCATGAATTCATAGCTCGTTGTTCAGTGTGTTAGGAAAATAAATATATTGCCTTATCTCCCAGCGGTCTTCTACAACCGTTTCCAGTACCGGAGCTTGTTTGGGTTGATATTTCGATGGATTTCATTGAGGGTTTGCCGAAGTCAGGGGGTGGGATACAATATTGGTAGTGGTGGATCGGTTGAGTAAGTATGTTCATTTTATCGGTCTGAAGCATCCCTTTACCGCACCAATTGTCGCAAATGTTTTTATCCGTGAGATTGTCTGTTTGCATGGGGTACCTCAGTCGATTGCTTCGGATCGAGATAAGATCTTCATGAGTGAATTTTGGGAAGAGCTCTTTTAAGGCGCAGGGGACCGTCCTTAAGAGAAGTATGGCCTACCATACACAAACGGATGGCCAAACTGAGGTGGTCAACTGATGCTTAGAGACATATTTACTGTGCTTCGCCTCGAGCAAACCTCATTCTTGGAACCAATGGTTACCGTGGATCGAATTTTGGTAAACACTTCCTTTCACACAGCTACTAAACAGACACCTTTCCAGATTGTGTACGGTCACTATTCACGTCCAGTTTTGCCATTTGAAAGGGGGGTTACTGTGGTCTCATCTATGGAGCAAGCTTTAATGATGCGGGATGAAGTGCTACAGACTCTGAAGTTGCAGCTGGCTCGCGCGCAACAAAGGATGCAACTAGAGGCTGACGAGCATCGTCATGATCTTCAGTTTGAGGTGGGGGAATTGGTGTATCTTAGACTACGTCCATACGGTCAGAAGTCTGTGGTTCATCGACTGTCAGCTAAACTGTCTCCTAGATACTATGGACCATTTGAGATTGAGACTAAGGTAGGGCTGGTTGTTTACAAGATGAAACTCTTTCATGTTTTACAACTTCGAAAGGCTATAGGCGCTGTCCACCCGATCCATCTCCTTCCTCCACATGCAGACGGTCAGTTCATCTCAGAGCCAGAATCTGTGTTGCGAGTCAGATCAAATACCTCCAACTCTGCTTTGGGTCCTGAAGTACTGATCAAGTGGAAGGAGTCACCAGAGTTTGAGGCGACATGGGAGCCGTTTGAGAGTATCTGCCATCAGTTCCCTAATTTCCACCTTGAGGACGAGGTGGCTTTCAGGGAAGGGGTAATGATAGGCCCCCGATTCGATTCACGTATGCAAGAAGAAATAGGAGGGAAGCCAGCAGAACCATTGGGAGTCACTTAGGAGAGTTCCAAGCCTCTCGAAAGCCTTGGATTATTACACTTTTGTTTTCTATTTTAGCTCAATAAATCATACAGTTCAGTGTCGCTATCTTTGTTTACTATTCCAATAGTCCAAAGATATTATAATTTTTCTACATCATTTCCCAAGTCATCCATCTAATTCTTCATTTGAGTTCATCAATTCGCTAGAAGGAAGAAGTCAGACAGTGGTGCAGAACAGGAACAGCATGTCAGGGTTCTAACAATGTGGTATCTGAGCAGGTCCACGTCATAGGTTTGAATCTCCGAAGGGGCGACCCAAGCGAAGTGCTGAATACCAGCAGCCAAGGAAGGGCTGGTGGGTAATGCGAAGGTCGTCTTGGAGTGGGCTGCCTTGGACGGCGGAACTGGGGCTGTGGGGTGTTGTTAGGGTCTAATAGGTGTGGGATTCCAATCCCAACAAGCCTGGGCTTTTGGGAGAGATGGTTGGTTCCCATCAATTGGTCTAGTTATATGCTTTCTACTCTTTTTGAAAATGCCCTTATATTTTTATATGTACATTTATATATATCTGTCCTTGGATCACACTCGTTAGGATTAGATACAATTTTTTTAGCTTATCATGTCACATTTCAATACACTTGTTATCCCTATTCTTTGTACTTCAGGAATAGACAATTTTGAACTAATCACGTGAAGAAGAAAATCAAGTGAGAGATTCTTATTGTGTTGTTCAAGCTACAGTACCAGACATGCCCTTATGATACCAAACTTGTTTGTTTCTTCATTCGAGACTTGAATGCTAGATGTATTATGCTTGTAATAATGGTCGTGTTTTATTTACATGATAATAAGTTTTGGAAGGATGAAGATTTAGATAATTTTTTAAGGTTTATTAAAAACGTATACTTTTAAAATTATTAAATCTGACTTACAATAAAAATTCGAAATAGGGTTAGAAGTGTAGGGTGTTTATAGAAAGATGAACATATTTATAAGATGAGGAGAGAAAAAGGAAAATGAATTGTCAATTAAACCCCAGTATAATTCTTGCTTAATCTTGCATGTTAAGAAAATGTTGATTCGTATTGAAGGTATCTATACAGAACAATGAGCATATAATCTTGCTTTTGATGACTATTTGTTAGTTAGTGGTTGATCAGCTTATTAATAGTAACATATATAAAGTTTGGAAGAGGAAGACTTTGGACATTACCCCTTGTGGATATGACACATTGAATGAGTAGACATGCATGGTTGTAGTAATCATCCCAAACTTAGAATGCTGATCATGCCCTATAACTTAAAAGTATTGAGCTTGACTGTAGTGGTAATTAAGTAGGGTTGTCTTAGTCTAAGCTTGGGATCGTCTGCCCTTTGTTTGGTTCAGCAATGCCCGTGTGGGTCGTCTAAGCTGGGGAGGCCTTGGAAAATGACTAGCAGAATCCATTTTATCCATCTATAAGTTTTGCTACATGAAAACACTTATCCTGGTGACAATCTCTATTTTCTACTCTAAAACCCAGCTTGTCAGACCACGACAAATTGCTTCAGTAAGCAAATCACACGCATAATTAGTATTCTGATTAGCCCATTTCTTAAATCTAGAAATTCAGATTACTTGCCAGTGAAGAAATCAAGAACCCAGAAAAAGACAGATTCGTAGCTGCATGCGTGACTCATTTCCTGCCCTGCCTAAAAGGAAATCATTTTGCGTGTTCAAAAATTCATTATTTTCAGAAAGGACAGTATCTCTGGGAAAGACCTAACGGTCCAGTCTATAAAATCAGGATGCCATCCTCGTAAATGGGCACAAATCTTTGTCACTTTTTACATTTTTAACCTATTCTTAGTTGACAGACTTGCATTTGTTATATATTGCAGAATCTCTGCATGCAATAAGATCTCACTGAAAGGAAAGAACTCCAGGATTAGGTACATTTACAATTTATTGCAAAAACATTAGTAACTAACTTAAACATATAATCATAAAAATGTACATAAAATTTGAAAATTTGCACGAGTTGTGGGAAGATTTGAAGGTGCTTGCTAAAAGAAAGTAATTACATCGATGGAGCAGTAACTAGAGACTAAGAGCCAAAGGTAAAAGTTACTATACTGTCTCCCCAAATCATCAAGTCATGAACATCGTAACTTTTGGAAGTTCTGATACAAGGTAGGCATCAGTCCACATACATGGTCTTATTACTAGCACCCGAAAAAAGCTAAGAAATACAAATTTCCTTGTCCTATGCATTCTTGTTAAGGACTCGAGGATTGTGAAGAGATTTATGGGTTGAAAATTAGGTTACCACATTTGCATTTCCAGCTCAAGGGCTTGTAGTTAGAATTGTCATCACCTCTATTATAGGCAATTCCTGAGGTTGTGGTGGAGTTCTTTATTGGGGAGTTTGTGGGCACCTGAATGGCCTCACAATGTGCACAAGAATTGCACCTCCTTTCGCACTGTGGCGGCTTCGAGCCAATTTGTGCCCTAAAAGTTGCCTTCTCTTCTTCATTCACTGTCTACACAAATAATTCAAGATTTTTAAATTCGAATGATTCAAATTGTAACCCATGAAACTCAAGAGAAACACAGCTAATGCTCTAAATAATGCAGATGAAGACATAGTATAGAAAAAAAAAATGGATCCTACATGTGGAAGCTTCCAATAGTTTTAAGTTTTTAGATGAGTTGGTAATACACATACATAATATGCGTATATATACCTGGTGAATATCGGCACGTTGTACTAAAATTCTACCTGCAATGTGCATGAAGAAAGGAAACTTAATGGTTAGTTTGAAACATGAAATTGTTTTGAGCATGTGTTTTCAAGAAACTCAAACGCAACCAATTTACCTTCTGCACTGAGGTGGGATGAGCTTGAAATTAAGAGAAACAGTAAAGAAATGGCAAAATGGTGAAGTATAAGGCCACATATAAGATTGTGACTGCAACCCATTTCAGAAATGATGATTTATTTGTGGGTTTTTCTTGTTTTTATAGGGATTGAGATTGTATAAATGTTTTGCCAGCTAGCAGTTAGGTTTATGGAGTTTTGGATTTTTGTTGCCAGTTATAGGTGATTTCTTGCACTGCTGGATTTTCAAAATTTGTCTAGATTTCACGTCTCTATATGCAAGAAAACACGCAGTTAACTGTGTTCAATCATGAAGCATTAGCGTTGCTGTTACTTTTATTTTTAATTTTTTGGCTTTTCTCCACGTAGGTCAAGTTTATTATTTTAACTAGTCAAGTTGAAGATAATTGATTGTACGAAATCTTGTAAGTACACAGTATGTCAGTATTGTGAACCAGGGCCGGCCCTGAGAATAAAGAGGCCCTAGGCGATCAATTATTACGAGACTTTTCAACATAATCATTTTTTCACAAGTGTAACAAAATTTAAATAATTAACATTTTTATATTAAAAAGAAGACTTCATATAATTCAAAAGATAAGAGTTGCTAATTAATTCAATCGTTTTTGTGACATTGTTGATCGAAGATAAAATTTAATCGACAATATATCATTATATTAAATAGCAATCTCCAGTTAAAGCAATGAATTGATAAAAAGAAATCAGATGAAGCCAAGAAATATTATATGATCAAACTCAGTCCAACTTCAAATATTGTCAAGAATAATTGCCCACAACTAATTTACACCAGTGTCAGCACTTAATTTTCAAAGTCAATTTTTATTTTTATTTTTTCATGTCTATATAAGTATGAATGTAAAGTGAACAGTGAAAAGATATGGAAGAAACCTTGCCTACATGAAACAGAAGAGCAAAGCCAATTATTGAACATAATTGGAATTGTTTCTTACTGTGATTTTCTGCTCTAAAGCTTGTAGAAGTTAACGCAGAACTAATCCACATTATGTGCTAACATTAATTACGACCTTCTGTAGAATATAAAATTCTATTTTGCACATTTCTTCACTAAGACTGGGAATTAGGAAATATTTGTACTTGTTGAACGTTTAAATCAAAAGATACCTTCTTGGAACCTATAAATTCAAATAGTTCAAATGTATGTGACTTACTAAGCACAATTCCCTATTCATATAAAATGTACTGATTTGAATTATATTGTGAGTAATGGATATTGAAATTGATTTGAATTATTGGGAATATTTACAACATGAAGAAGATTGATTCATATTTCAAGAAATGAACTTTTGAGTAAGCTTCAACCTCTCATCTCAAATCTCTTACTCCGAAAGATAACATTGGTCAAGAACCATATGTTGTGGATTCTTCTCCTCAAAATGAGGAATTCGATTCATTTTCACTGGAACGTGATCATGGACTACGCAAATTGGAGTTGAAAGATCAATTGGAGCTATATAAAATTGAAGTTCAGCGTAACTTAATTTAAAAATTTGACAACACTTCCCGATGTGTGCCAGCTGTTGGTATTGACAAAAAAATCAATGAGTTATAATCTTGTTGATAGATTGATTCATCTTGTATTGACTCTTTCAGTTTCAACAGCAATTGCAGAAAGTACATTTTCAGTTATGAGTGTCATTAAGACAAGGTTGCGTAATAGAATGGAAGATGATTTTTTGTCCAGAACCATGCTTGTGTATATAGAGAATGAGATTGTTGATACTTTTCCATTAGATTCTTTTATTGACGAGTTTGAAGTGATGAGGATAAGGAAAGACCAATTTCAGATATCCAAGTCATCTCTACCATCTGTTAAATAGATAGGCATGTATAGCGTTAGAAATATAGATGGACATATTATTTTTGTATCGACAAACTGATTGTCTTTTTGGTCAGTCAATCTAACTTGCCTATTTTAGTACTCAAATCATCATTTTCAATCATCTTAGTTAAAAAAAATTGGCCCGCCCCTCTCCACCCCCCGTATTTTCGCCCCCACAAGATTGAAATTCTGGCTATGTCCATTCCTCTATTGAAATGCATGATAATTGATATAAATGTTATCTATTCTATCGTCTCTCTTGATAACAATAAAACTCATACATCAAATCAATTAGTGATCAAGTAATTGTAAGTACCACCCGTAACTTTTTAGATGTTACGTTTTCAGTCCCTGATTTTGATGCTTTATTCCCTTAAATCATTTTCTTGTGCAATTTTCGTCATTTGACTTTTAATTTCATCCAATTGATTCTGTATGATCTTCAATCATTATTTTTTGGTCCGAATCAATTATTAAATATTTGCAATTTAGTACCTAAATTTTAGAATCCTCATTTGCGTCGATTGTCGTTCCTTTCTTTCAATTCACTTTTAATCATTGAAAATATATAAGAGGTTAGGCCATAATTAATCATAAGAACTTCTAAATGTCTATATTTACAGGCCTATAAGTATATGAAAGTACAGTAATCAATAATCTTACTCGAGATTACGCACCACATACTTGGTCCCCATGAAGTAAATCAATTCAGATTTGTTCTTGATTGGGGTCGGGTGAGGTGTCTCTAACTCAACCATTGTACAAAAAGCAGGACTATGGTAGAGACACCTTCAATGAGGAATTGTGGGCCAGCCTGCACATTTGTGGTTCTTTTCCCAATTGGGTTTGGGTTAAAACCCAAATTTCAAACAAGTAAGGTTGGGCTGGGTCCACTCAAGTTTTTGCCCAGAAACTTACCCAATTAAAATAGAAAAATTAGGCCCAGTACCCTAAAAAATTAACCAATTTGATTTATACTCTTTTAATTAATTAAATCATACGCTATAAAAGATGATTTCTTCCCAGGTGTCACTATAATATTTCTCTCCTGCTTCATCCTTATCTCGACCGCACAGCCTTCAACATCACCAGGCTCTTTGGAAGATTCCCGAAATTCAGCATCTTTAGATGTTTTTTCTTCTCCATTATTTTTGTTGCTACCATTTTGCTATTTTCGAAAAATTGTATTAGAAAATTTCATAAGACTTCATCCGGCTTAAAACTTAAAATTGAAATTTGTGTGAGTTTTGTGGTGGGGGAAAGAAAATTGGAACTTGGGTGTTGCCCTAGTACGGTGTTTGGGGAATTTATATTTAGGAAGAGCAAGAGAATTGATTTCCATTTGGATCCAACCCTTGATTTCTTTTAATTTTTGAAGCATTTTGCAAGAGATCCGTTCTTGAGAAATTCTTGACTGTGTTTTGCATGCAATTTAATATTCTTACGTTTTGAGACTTTTCGATAGATTCGGTGATTACTCTGATTGCATTTGATTGATTTTAGTGAATGCTCTTGATTTAGTATATTCTACTGTGGTTTTGACTTTGTTTTCATGAGTCATGTATTTTAGTTGAGAAAGAAAGTGGTGCATATAAATTTATAACTGTTGGTTATTGGATTCTGAGTGTGTTTCTTAGGCTCCGTTTGATTGGCGGAGTTTTCCAGGGAAGTAGGAAAATATTTTTCTCTTTCACTTTTTTAACTGTTTGATATGCGAAATTTTTCACGGAAAATGTTTTCCTCCCTTTTTCTAGGTACAACAATTTGATACACAAATGGTGGAAAATGTTTTTTCACCTAATAGGTGGGAAAACATTTTCCAC